TAGAACTTCTAGTTGAATTATCAAACTTTAAATAATTCTACTGAGTTATAAAAGTATGAGGAGTTCAGCCGGGACAAATTTGCTTTCAGTGACATCATCTTCTTCAGCTGTACAGTCACATTTAAATATGGTTAGTGTGCATAAAAATGTCAATAGTTATTAGTAATTTGTGACCATGAAAATAATATAAGAATAAGAATTACGTAAGAGATATGAACTGGAGAGTTTAAGAACTAAGAGGCGAATAAGGCCAGGGAATGGCAAATTTTGCTTCTGGATACACAATACTGGTTATTATTGTTGTACCGCCAAAGTTTCAGCAATGTAAACTAAACGTTTTGTCAAATCCTTTGGAAAATGACTCTGTACTTTGTAGACTAATGCAAACTGGAACTATGTATCATCTGTTCACCGAATGTTGTAATATGGAGCTGCTAAGTGATCTGCGTTGACATTTACTAAGTAATGTTGAAAGGTACCACTGTCGACGTTAGGCAATCTGCTACCAGATAGTGATATTTATATCCACACTAACTATATTTAAATCCGGTTGTACAGCTACAGAAGATAATATCGTCGGAAACAAATTTATTTGCTGTTTTTATTATTATTTCCGTGAATTATACTTTTATTATTGATTACATAGTAGATAAATTTGTTATTATAGACTCATAAATCACTCCATATGGTTTACCGTTTTACACATACGTGGATCTGTGTATGTTGAAATGCAGGCTAAAGACAACTTAAGTGAAAACTGCTTCGTTCACTTATAAGCCTTATTTTAGTTTTAACATTGGATAGATTTAATCGTCTACTGGGATTAGTGATTAAAGTTGAAGCAAAACCTCAGTAGTGTCAAGATTCTAATTATTATTATTAGTCCCTTGGGTTCCTAGTGGAATATAGGGCTTAACTGGCACGTCTCCATTCCACTCTCTTATCTGCAAACTCTTCAACCTGGCTCCACAACACCCCACAACCTCTCATTTCCTCCTCACACCATCTCCTCCATGTCACCCTCACCTCCAACACCCAACTCATCGCTTCCCATCTGGGTTCCACTCGACCACCTGGACTGACGCATGATGTCCCCAGTCGGCATTCTCAGTGGATGCCCAATTCAATCCATCTCCACTTACTTCCACTGCATATTTGTTGGGCGATAGGTTCTTGGTTGGGTTGGTTCGTTCCCACAGTTCCTTATTGCTTATTTTTATTATTCTCGCCATCTGATTTTTAGTAACGAGTGTTGGCAGTTATTGATGAATGTCTGTAGTTTATTGGAAATGTCTTTTGTAACGCTCCAAGATTCTAATTAAGTAGTTTCAATTCTGCCATCATTCATGTTTTATTGAGTTGAACTAGTTAAAGTGTATTATAACTAAGAATCAATCCTGAACAAGTGAAACGACTGACTGGTGCTTAGATCCCCTTGTAATGACTAATAAAAAGTACTGCTGATCGGTCTCATCGATTCCTAACTTATCATATCATCCATTAGTATACATTATGAACTTATGTTTGGTTTATTAACAACATTCTTAGTGTCAAGTAGATGCCAACTTTGATTCCGCGAACTTCTGAAGGTAAATACAATGCCATTTTACAATGGAGTTCGGCTTGGTTGTCTTCCTAACTAAAAATTGAGAATCAAGCTAACATTTGCTTTGGTTTAGTTTATTTACCTATAGCTCTCAGTGTTATGATAATTTTTGAACTACTTTCCATGTATTGTTAGCATTCATTTTGTGTTACGTAAGGACTGAAGTCTTCCCCAATATTTTATGAAAATGTAAGGGTGTTCGAGGTACTAATCACTATGCTGTTCTTCTAGCCATCAAACAGTTCACACTGAACTATGAGTGAAATACCATGTCTCAGCAAACAGTAGGACTATGAATAATCCAATTAAAGTCAGATGTTAGTTTGTACAAAGAACATTCCTTGAGATGAATATTTTCCCCTTTCAGTCAGTCCATATCAGCGTGAAACTGGCTATTACTTGCTGTGAAACGGTCCGAGGTACTAAATCTCATATCAACACATCAGACGAGAATGCGCTAAGTCCTAGAAAGTTATCAAAAAAGAACAAGAAGGAAAGGGAGAAGACTGAAATTCAGCTTGATGAACACATGACGGTTAAGGTGGTGAGAATGAATGGATATATTTCTTCCCCTGAGATCGAATCTGAGCCACCCTTCACCAACATGTTGGTCGTCATGGAAACACTAACTGGGAAGTCTGCATTTACCTACTTGATTCATGCCAACAGTTAAAGGCTTCATGGATTAATTCCATGTTTTAATTTGGTCACTTTTGACCTTTCAGAAGTTTGAACCTACTCCAGTTGAAATTGCATGACCATGTGTACGTGACAGTGTATGCATAACACATATTCCAGCCACCAGAGTCAATGGAGATCTGTAGCTTCATCAAGTGGTACCCCTCTGCTGCCTAAGACTCTACACCTGAATTCCAAATTAATAACTCATTGTCACCAAAACAAACAGCTTTTACTATGAAGGCAAAGTTAGCCGGACACCTTGAGGTTTTTCCAAGTCTTTCACCTTTAATCACCATGCTTTACAGCCACGCCAAAGAAAAAAGAGAAGTGTGACAGTACATTGGACCCTAAATAGGCAAATGGATATCACTGTGGAGCCATGAATAGTATGAGTTAGCGAAAGTCAACCTTTATAAATCAAAGTAACTGTTATATTCTTCGTGAAGTTTGTAGCAAATACAGTTTTATTTACAGCATGAGCATGGAAATAAAACAAATTTATGAAAATCTCTGAATACAAAAATAACTAATATCTAAGTGTCGGAGGAAATAATAATTTGATTAGAGTTGTAAATTAAAATGAGTCATCTTAGGCGACTAGTCAAAGCAACTATACACTTGGAAATCTATCAGTAATTCTGTACTGGTTGATTTAGTAGACATAGACCATTAAGCAAATGTTGAAATAACTTTTATTATGATACGATGTTTGCTAAAGGTGGTGTTCTCTGGAGTTTGACTACAATACGCACAAGTCGCTGAGCTTTGGCGTAAATATTTTAAGTGCTATTCCAATTATTCTTTTATATGTAAATATGTTGATGTGGTGTAAATAATGATAACGATATCGAATAATCTGTTAAATGCTTATCTACTAGGATTTGAGGCACACTTATTGTATGTGGGGTGGGTGGGTGTTCGGACCGAAAGCCCATAGTTTGAAAGTTGAGCTCCGAAGCCAGTTACTCACATTTCCACCGGTCTACACCAGTGAAACTTTTCCGATTTCCAAAGATACATCTCACCTGTTATTGTAATCTAATCTGACTTGTATTTTTGACATTTAGCTTTTTGCCTATCTAGTATCTGCTTGTCAGACACAGATAGGCAATCAGAAAAGCCAAGAAGTTCTTTCATCACAACCAGTATGTAAAAAGGTTGTGACCCGTCAATATTATCACTGGTTAAGTAGTTTCTGAAGATGTTTAGTTGATCATTATAAAGATATAATTTGACTAGAAGCTGATACGCTTTTCTAGAAAATACAATGGTTTGATGAAATATTCAATTATTAAGGTATTTACAAGATTTCAAGATCGAAATTCACAGAGACACACGTAGAGTTTGAAGGATGAAATAGAACGTCATTTATGCTAACCGTGTGAGCATCACTCTAGTTGGCGTATTTCCTTAAAGTAGCACAATAATATCACTTCTCGTAAATATCCGCATCAAATGGTCACTGTTTTGAAGTAGTACTTTATAGGAACGCAAGGTTTGATAGTTCCCAATTTAGTTAAAAAGATAGGGCTAGCTGACCGACGTCATAGACATAAACCATCTCCTTTACAGGTAAACACATATGTCGTCTACTTCACGCATATTGTTTACTATCGGATTCGTAAATCAGTCTATCATAAATATCATGACAATAAACACTACGTATCTATTGGCTGGGAACGACTTTCACCTTAGGATATAAATTTGCATACTTGATTAAACCTTTGAAACCACATGACTCCTTCAGTTTCAAGTCTGGGAAAGGAAATGAGTAAGTGGAATATTTGCTGACTGTCCTTGAATGACAGTAACGTCAGAATGGATTTATCATCTTCAAATCTGTTCCATTATTCATTTGTGAAAATAGTTATTAAGCTTCCCTTTCCGTAAGATCATCTGGCGATGAATTCAATCTACTACTGAAAAATATGGTGTTAATAGAGACTTAATATTAGAGAGTCTAACCAGAATAGTGTGCAATACACAAAGCATAGATCCTGATCACTATTCAAACACAGTCTATCTACACAACCTATGAAGTGGATCATATATTACGAAGCGAAATGAGTTAATAAAAGAGCAAGCTAGACTTTTATCCTTCTTAATCTGGGAGATATGCTATAGTATTCAACTTGTGAGTTAGCTGCATAAAGATCACTCGTTCTGAAAAAGCAAAACTCATTGTTTCATAATGGACAGACATCAGCTGAAAAGCTATTGAAAACCTTGGAATATTGGACAGCTTATCCTTCCTAGTATAAAACTCCTGAACAGTAAGTACACACAACCTCACCATATTTCAACCTCAAGACCTTCAAGTGTCACAGCGAATGTGCCAACCACCGGGACCTTGAGTTCAGCGGTCCACATCTGCTTACTTCTGTCATTTCGCGATATATTGTGGTAATCCACCATGGCTGTTAATTGGCATCCGCTTCACTTCTGACTGACTGACCTCAAGCTGACAATGGTTCTACAGCTCATGTCAGACCTATAAGCCTCAAACAACCGATATGTTATGGTTTTATAATCACGAAGAGTTATAAAAGCGATGAAGTGTAGTTTTTGAACAGTAACTGAACTCACTCTTCATCAAATACGCTATTATACCAAAGCCAAAAATATGGTTTAAGGCTAACCGTTTGTAAGTTTGATATGAATGGAGATGTAATTTAAGTCAGAAAGAAAATAGTGTCAGAAAAATTAAACTTACATAATGTTTCTCTTATATTCTCTTCACAATGGTTTAATTTTTGTTGTAAAATATCTATATGACCTTCTTTTCGATGAATTTCAAGTTTCAAACCATCCATTCTCTCTTGCATTTCCTAAATATTTATTAAGTATATGAGATTATTTAAAGTTCTTTCATTAAATAAACAGAGATATTTTTGCTTTGTATGCTATTCTCTTCTAAATAAATAACTAATGAAATAACTATCTTATAGTTACAATCCTCAGGATGTTTTACAGTCATACTTGTAGAGACGGTAGTTGTTAAATCGAACCTAATAGCACGGCTAGCTATTACACTTAGAAAGCAAAACTGGAAATTTCACCTCAAAATCTTATTAGTTTCTAGGAGAGGTGTGGCTTAAACCCATCTTTTGGGGGTAATAACATTATTAATAAATAACTAAACACTTAGAATTGACTTGAAAACTTCACTCCCGATGGATATCAATCTTCATTGTTATTTTTACCCACTATCATAATAACAGATATCCTACTTAGTCCTCTCGACACGGACTGTTCATGAATACGAAACAACAAGCGTCTGATAATAGTCACCTTTAATTTATAAAACTCTCTATTATGATAGAGGGTCAAGTAGCCACTATAGCCATATAATTGTCTATAGATGTGACATTAAGTGATTACGACAGGAGATTGAAGTGAATGTCTTATGCAGGACTTATAGAAAGAAAATACACTGAATTCATCATTCACAACTGAGATTAGGTCTCATATAAAAGCATATGTCGATGCAAAAAGTAGATAATACCAGTAAATTAAGTAGTCTTCGTGGGAAAATTAGTTGCCATTGCATTTCATTACTGTCATTGAGTTAGCTCTGTCTTTTCTACCAAACAATGAAATACCTAGAACACTTAGATTGCCAAATTTCCTGATAATCCAAAAGTCTAGAGATTTCATCATAATAATGAGTAAAAATTTCTACTTAACGATAACTTACATCAACCAGTCAGAAATTTAAAATGATGGAGCACAAAAATTTATTTCTAAAATTCATCGTAATATTTTCCTAATAAAACTATATCTTATTGGTTAACTGGTTAAGGGATTAATGACAGATAAGAGTTGTTGGAAGCTATAATTCGAAAACATAAGCTCGCCTTAAAATAGATAAAAGGAAGGATTTTGAAGTTTAATGCTCATCTGCAAATGACTGATTAGCAGAATCAACTTAGAACCTCACACAAAGTGCATCATTTCAAGTTGTTGCACCATACAGAAGTATACAAACAACAGGTGGATAGAATAAGAGTGATATCAAATTAGACAAATCTGTTTGAGACAATAAACAGTCTAAAGATAACACATGGTGCAAATATTCAAACTTAAGAAGGTATCAAGGAGTTGATGCATCTGCATCATTGTGACCTATTTTCAGCCATGTCACCAAGAACCCACAACCACTGATCCCCATCATCTCGAGAACTCAACCCAGGCAGTCCACAACTCAGACCGACAGTCAGAGACTTCATCGACTGGTGCCACGTCTTCGTCTGGTCACAGTGAACCTTCTCACAACCTGATCCCAATTTCCCTACCATGGCACATCGAGGTAGGTAGTGGCTTGGCATGTGCAGAACATGTCTGAGCCTTCTCAGTCGACTAAGGTTCATGACCTCATCATTTGACTTACCTGTCTTTCCTAGTACGTTTCGTCTGACTTCATCAGTGCTCACATGGTCATTCCATAAAATATGGTCAGTGCTACAGAAACACCAGTAACCGAAACCCCATAACAACTTCATGTCTTCTATTTTTAAAGCACATACACACTTCCAGTGCTATAAACAAGCAATCAACTTATGTTTCAACTAACAAACTTTAACGATGGAATGTGTCTGAAGATCAGGTACAATTTAAGTGACAGGATTTTCCAGTACTTCCTATAGACTAGGTTTTTCAATGATAAAGACATAGGACTCAAAAACCGAAATTACAAAGAAGCTCGTTTGTGATGTCCAGCTACCATTAAAGTAGCCTTAAGTGAAACCCAGATATTTCAGCCAACCGCTTAATATCTACAGCTCTTTATAGAAAGAAAAGGCATAAGTTTAAAGCAAAGATATTCCATTAAAAATAGTATTACTGCAAAAGATGTCATGCATAAGCTATGAAAAAAGAACTGCTTTATTCGGGCTTTCGCAAACTTGGCTTTGGTTGTGATAACTACATAAACGTTTAGCTTGAAGTCACTCAGTTTAATTTTGATTTTCTAACCTCTTTCCGAGTTTCAAAGGTGGCTTTAAAAGTTCACATTTTTATCCTTTTAAGTATATATCTTTCTGTGAAGCCATTTTTATTGGCGTCAGTTAGTTTTATGTCGCATTTTTATCGGTACTGATTCAGTCTTTAACCGAACATAACAATGGTTTCATATTACTGCTATAGGTTGTGGGTGTTTCTTCTCGGTGGATGATGATACGCACTGTAATAACTGCTACAAATTGAACCACAAAGTGAGTATCACCTTAGAACAATCTGGTTATAAGAAGATGTGTAAGATGTGTCTTTAACTCAAGCCTGGCATAATGGGAGCTGTGCAATCGCTAACTACAGCTTGGATACTTGCGGATTCAGTAAGTAGCAGGCTCAGTCGTGTGAACTCAGCTTTTAACCAAGATAATATATTCAGCGTCACTTAATGTCTAGCTGTGTCGCTTGCTGAAAAATAATTTGGATTCGGAGTTTAATCTGACTCTGCTTTTGTGAAGCCAAGGTGACCTTTTAAGGATATCAACAAAAAATTGGGTTCTATTGACTCAAAACGGAATAAATGTAAACTGCCATTAAGGTCATCAAGTGAAGTAAATGCACCAAACGCGGAAGCTTGAAAGACAAAGAAATCTTGTTCAAGTCTCTGGCACAGATTACGAGGTATCAAATGTTAGAAAAAGGCTGCTGACGACCCTGACTAAACTGCTAGGTAGTCCCAGCTTTCATATGTCGATTTATACATTAAATAAGGGTGAAAGGCCTTTGGTAGTAAGGGTAAATAACGCACATAAATTCCTACTGTTTTATATAGCTAGATGTCGAAACTTGACACTAATGAAGGTAAAAGCAACCAAAATTCCCCAGTAGTTTAGAGTGTGCTTACAAAATCCCTATGAACGACAAATAGTAAGTTGAGTGCAAGCCAACCATATGTAACTCAAACTAATCAGAAGAATCGGATCTTGCTGACAACATTCTCATTATGTAAGCGTGATAGGATCGGTAATTATAAAATTACTTCCTAAAAATGACTACGGAATAAGCACTAGGAAGTTAGAATAGACGAGATTTTGGTTACCGAAGTATACCAACTTTCTAAAGTTGTGTCTGTTTGTGACAAAAAATGGAGCTAACTTTTGTCTAGGATATGTAAGATCATTGATTCCGGTAGGACAATTAGGTTTGATTGCAAATTGATGGATAAAATTAGGAGAAAACATGCACTAGTAGAACTACAAAGCAAACATCCGAATGCGTTTTCGGATAGTGAAAGCTGTAAAATTATACTTTCAGTTGGGTGTGTAGATGATTCACATGAACCGAACATCGTAACGGTCTATCACGCCAACTATTATAGCCTTCAAAACAAATTCAGTGAGCTAAGGGTTTCGATTTGTAAACTATAATCAGTAATGGTATATATATATATATATATATATATATATATATATATATATATATATATATATATATATATATACACGCATTTTAGATCCAGATTAAACACCATGTTGGAAGAATGCAATCCACTTCGAAGTTACGGGAACAAAGAGCAAAAGGGTGTTGTAATAGTACTTTATTTGAGATGTTATTTCCAAGCAATTTCCAGTAACCTTCTTGTGCATTATCCTGGAACTTTTGAGATCATCAAGTGCAGAGTCTCCTTAGAAGGACGTCCAGATATTGTAAAAAATATCCATGTGAGTTTAGCCTGTCAGGCTGACGCATCAATACAGAAAGGTGTCAGCGATTGGATCAGAAAAAGAGAGTGTTACACAGATTTTAACTCACCTATTGCAGAATGCGTAGGTGTATCCTGGATTAAATCACTTGATTCATTCGATAGTGGACCCTTTCGCATAATGGCTGGACATGCACTGATACAGCTTGTTTTCAGAAACACACGTATTGACGCTAATCAAGGGTCTTCTTAGCTAGATCTTGGGTTAATGCATAAGCTGTATAGTGTATCCAACCTAAATATTCTTCTTTCCTTCGTAAACAGAGGCTTTGCGGTGCTTTCATTAGAGATTAGAGTTTGTGACATGGTTCATGACTTTACCTAACCTCATTTGAATGCTGAACGGGCATACACTGACTATAAGAGAACATGCTTCATCGGTAGATTGGTCCACTAATGTGACTTTGTCTTGTGATGTTACATGGATGAAATTTTTAAAACCCTTAGAACTAATATAAGCCCGCGCACACCTCTATTAATCCTGTGTACACTTACTAACCTTCCCCAATAGATAACTAAGCTGGCTAGAAAAGCCCTCGTCTACAAAAAGGATTGTGGAACTTTGTAATCACAGCACGTCTTGGTCAGTTAAGGTCAAAGTATTGTGAAGCCGCAAACTTTTGTGGAAGTCTGATTAGAAAATAAAGCTTAGAATGCAAGAAGACCTCGCTTAGTTAACTAGTTTACTGGTTACCAGCCAGTCCTAAGCCCGGATAAAGAGATGAGGCTGAGCACATGGCTAGCAACCCTATCCCGTAAAACAAATCCAATCCCTAAACAAACTCCAAAACACAAACAAAATATAAAAAATAAAAATAAACTTATACCCCGCTAGAATCGGGGAGACAAAATGACTCCAGTTGCTGACAACCTTCGGGAAGTCAATTAGCCGGGCTGACATGTCCTCTCTCGATGAAAGCAAAAGCAAGAATGGGGACATGAAATGTCCGCACAATGTTTGAAGCTGGCTGGCAAGGCTGTCCAGATTATAGAAGAGATGAGGAGGTATGACATGGAAGTGCTTGGAATCTGCGAAGAAACTGCAGATGGAATGGAAGTGGACTCTGAAAAATGTCAACTGGAGAGCAGTCAAGAATCTACTCCAATATTGTCACCCAGATAACAACCACAAGCACACTCATTGTTGCAGTGGCTGTCATGATGTCATCAAGAGCATTAAAGGCTCTCATGCATTGGAAACCAATCTCCCTCCTCCGGCATCACGATCATGACAGCAAGATGGATTCAACTGAAAGGAAGGAAATTCACAATCATTCAATACTACGCTACGTACCTACAAATAATTCAGATGAAGAGAAGAATGAGGAATTCTACAGACCACTGCAATCAGTAATGGACAAGACAATACCCCAGGTGGTGATGGTGACATCAAAATTCTAATGGGTGGGGTGACATGAATGCCAAACTGGGAGCAGACAACACAGGAAGAGAATTCAATCATAGGTCGAGAAGCACTCGGTGACATGATGAATGAGAACAGATAACTGTTTGCAGATTTCTGCGCATTCAACGATTTGGTGGTTGGAGGCAGTTTGTAGAAACACAAGGACATTCACAAAGCGAGAGACATGGATTTGATTTCACCAGGTGGACACACCTAAAATCAAATCGACTTCATCTGAATGTGGAGAAAGTGGAGACGCAGTCAGCCTACTGGATACCAGATCACGAAGAGGAGCAGATGCAGGTTCACACCGATCACTATCCAGGACAAGCAACCCACCTTCAAAATCAAGTCGAAAGCCTTCAATTCCAAGAAGCTGGTGACAGACCACGGTGAAGCAGAAGAAGAAACAGTGCAGTACAGTATAGTACAGTACAGTACAGTACAGTACAGTACAGTACAGTAAAGTAAAGTGAAGTAAAGTAAAGTAAAGTGCAGTGCAGGGATGAACAACAAATAGAGCAACTGAACACAACTTATAAATCACTACACCAGACAAAGAAGTGAAGAAGAGTACGCGCAAAGACAAAAGACACTTCTACGACACACTGGCAAGTGAAGCACAACAGGCTGCTGGTAGGAGAGACACAGACCTGACAACTTCATATCAAATAACCAGGTTACTATCTGGGAGGGAAGAGATCAACTCAGAAGAAGTCAATCAGAGATAGTGAAGGGAACTTGGTTACCACCAGAGAGGAGAAACAAAGAAAACGATGGGCTGACCACTTCAAAAATCTCTTGAGTCGACCACCACCACCACCACCACCACCAGCACCTGCAACTAGTCCACAAATACCACCAGCAGTGCAGCCACGGAACTATCAGTGAACACAAACCCTCCGACAAATGCAGAATTTAAGTCCTGAATGCCATAAAACTGCTGAAATCAGGGGAAGCAACAGGACCAGATGGAATTTCTCCAGAAGCACTGAAAACAAACGCAGAGACACCAGTGGACATGCCCATACCACTTCCACTGTAGAAGGTTTGGAAGGAAGGAAGAAAAGTTGACTGGTGATTGGAAGAAGAGCTACCTTGTCAAACTCCAAAACAAGCGTGGGCGACCTAATTCTTTGCAAGAACTGGCGCGGAATCATCCTCCCGTCCCAGTCCACTCAAAGCAACCAAGATATTAGACAGCATCATCCTGCAGAGAGACTAAACGATGCTCTGAATTCAAAATTGCCACCGGATCAGACTGACTGACTGACTGACTGACTGACTGACTGACTGACTGACTGGCTTGTGGAAGAACAAATCATGAGCGTATCAATTTGCAACACTACACTACGCATCATCATAGAACGAGGCATAGAATGACTGTCAACTCAACTCAACCTCAACTTCATCGACTTTGAAAAGGTCTTCGATAGCGTTGACCGAGAAATAATTTGTCAGGCAGCTACTTCAACACCTCGGTTTTAGTGCCACAAACCCTTATCAACCTCATTCAACAGCTATATGCTTCATGACGATGATGCTACATGCCAGTCAAGTGATTGGCAGTGAAAAGCTCAGAGATGCCTTTGAAGTGAATACAGGAGTAAGACAAGGTTGCCACCTACTATCACAGATGATCTTCCTGGTTGTGGTCGACTCGAGTGGACTGGATCATGCAAGAGACTGTGAGGAGCTGTGAGAAGATGGGCATACGCTGGCCAGACCGATGAAGGGAGTCTAGAAGATTTGGGTTTCGCCGATGATGATTTATGTTTAATGTCTTGTCGTACAAACTCGAAGATCTACAGGCGAAAACTAACAAGTTGACAGAAGAGGCCAGGCAGAGAAGGAAGACACGACTTGTTAGTTGGTTGGAGGCAATCAGTAGGAAGTCCCGGACCTAGGTTTCGTGCTTTTTGGCACTCGTCATCAAGGCTTATCTGCAACCTCGACGGAACTGATGTCCCGCCTGAGACTCGAACCCGCATCACCCAGTGTTGTAGTCAGCGACTTTACTACTGAGCTATTCAGGCAGAGATTGACCTTCTGTAGGACTGGCTTACATGTATTGATTGGTCATGGGAGTGCAACCAATTTCATATTGTCTGGTCCTGAGTGCAGACTGAATCCTATCGATCATATTTGCAATGTGGCAACGAAGCTAGGAAGCTCAGCATCGCAGTGCACATTGGTAGACGTAAGTCGGTTGGAGGCAACCAACCAAACAACTAACATCTACACTAGTGTGCACCGCAATGCTGAGCTTTCTGGCTTGGTTGCCACATTGCACATATGATCCATAGGATTTGGTCGGCATTCAAGACTAGACAACATGAAGACGAGACTTCAGGTGAACGTAGAAAAGACAGAGGTGATGAAGATAACCAAACTCACCAACAACAACAAGCACCAGTCACCGTGAATAGGAGAAATCTAAAGGAAGTTGTCTCTTTCACCTACCTGGGCAGCATTGTTTCAACTACTGGTGGACATCTACTGAACTCAACTCAGCATAAAGCGTGAAGAAGATCAGGATTTTCAACACCAATGTCAAGTCAGTGCTTCTATATGGTTCAGAGACTTAGCGCGTTACGAAAAGCATTTCCATCAAACTGTGAACATACATCAACAGCTGCCACCTACGCTCGATACTGACACTGGAGATTAGATGGCAGAATGATTAAGCCACAATAAATTCTGGCAACGAATCAACCAAAAACCCATCGTTCAATTAATGTGCAGAAGGAAGTAGAGATGAACTGAATTGAACATACATTGAGAAGACTATTCAAGGACATCAAGTGCCAAGCCAGACCGTCGAGTGGAATCTAAAGGGGAAAAGACGAGTTGGGCATCCGAAGGTGACATAGAGGAGATCATGTGAGAAAGAAACGAAAGCTTGTGAGTAGTCGTGCAACAAGGTTTGGAAGACTGCAGAGAAAAGAGAAATAAAGACGTGCTACTAAAGCCCTATGTTCTACTAAGAACCCAAGGGTAAAATAAATAATAATAAAATAGAATACAAGAATGTGTTCGTCCGAACTTTTAAATTCTATTTTAACAGGTTACCCTGTAACATAAGGAGGTGAACTAACACGAAAAAAGACACCTCAGCCCTGATGATTTATGAGGATTTAATGCACGTAAATGATAATATTGCCTTATAACAGTGCTTCTGCAAAGTATTCTATGAAGGTTGTATTCAGTGTCCGAGAAAAGTTTCCATCGATGACATTCCACGAACGAAGACAGTCCTCATTTGGGAGGTCCTCTTGAAGCCACTGAAGAAAACAGATTAGGGCGATTTCCGTGGTTGACATGAGTTGCATCCAGGCATATGACCGCTATTGGACATCGCCTCAAAATCTCCAGGTTGACGATTCAATATGTCTCTCAGTGAATCGAAATCGCTTATGAATTAAAAGAATGCTGTAATAATTTCTGTCAGTAAAAATAGTCATAAACACATGATGCATAACTTTAATCCGGCTAATTTGACTAACTTAGTTAATAGGTTCTTGAAAAGGTTATTTACGAAATCATCCTTTGGCGTTTTGATGGGAAAAACCTTCTAGCTATGAAACAGCATGATTTTAGAGCCAAGTACCCATGTCTAACAAATTTTATTATTTCAACATAGGACTAGACTGCCACTAACTGGCATAATGTTCATTGACTTCAGTAAAAATTTTGATGAAGTCCTTTACCTGAGCATCGAGAAGCTGGAAGTTACTGAGACCAGTAACATGGTTAGAAACTTGATCAAAGATTTCCATTGCAACATAAGGCAGAAAGTAGACAGGATTGTCTTCTGAAAAATTATTGGTGAAGACTGCAGGAAACTACCTTGCGATATACTACTGTCAAAAGTATGCGAATACAAAGAATTGGGTTTCATTATTTCTTCCACTTAGTTGTGAACCCCTGACACTTTGTATAGGATCAAATTGAGTCCGTATTCTCAAGTGACGACTTCACGTAGAGACTAAATCTTGATAAGCCGAACACTTTCGTTAATTATAATTGTCGCCACTACTACTGTTATTATCATTATCATAAGCCATGAGCGTACAGCCTTTATTCCTGTAGACAAACTACTAAATATCAAATAGACTATTATTAATATAATCGATAGACTGATTTCTAAAGCGAGCATGTTAATTGGTTCCAGTAGGTGCTCGTTAGATTTTGTCATGAAATAAATACGCATGTTGGCACGAATAGTTTTGTAGCTAAGTTATGAGTAATCTTATGTGAAATTTTCATTTGCATTCGTGTCTTACTTTAATTTTTTTCAAAGAATTTGATGCTTCAGAAACCATCATCGGCTGCTTATCCACCATATCTGCAGCCTGGCGGCGGATGTAATTGTTTTCAAGTTCCAAAAGATATATTTGCTGTTGCAAACTTTTGATATATTCATTTTCCAAGTGCCTCATCGTTCTATAGTTCGCGTCTAGATTACTGCAAAAGCTGTGAAAAATTTATGTTCTTACGCTGAAGCATCAAGCGAAAACCCTGTAACTGCCTTCCCGTATTTTGCGCTGGCTGTTTTATTTACTATAATGATGTGAACATAAAATGACAAAAAATTACATGACCGACTGGGTGATGAATTCTTTGAACGCAGTTGCATTCGCCAAGCATCAACACCATTATTATATGTTTTCACCCCGCCACTCATAACGAATTTAGCTCTCTATAATTTTGTTTTAGGATTCAACCTGAGTTCGAAATTGTGCGTTAAATCGTCATAGCATTTCATTAATCAATGCCCTACTAATAACCTTGAAAAATTAGTGCTCAGTCCATCTTAACAATATCAGCATAAGAACAAAAACTGCATATCAGAATAAGACAATATGAAGAGTTAGAAGATTTTGTTCTGAGGGTAATGGGGAATATGGAACACCTTAGGCTATATAAATTGGTTTGAAATCAAATCCTCATGTGGCACATGTGATGAACTGAAAGTCCTCCTGCTTCTCCTCTTTGTTATTACTGATGGATTTCAGCGTGGACTTTTTTTATTCTGTTTCTCATCCACTTTCTACAAGAAGTCAGATAATATATAAACCACTGAGAACTATCGTGGCTAGCTTTCTCAGAACATTGTCTATTAAAACTATATACCTGTTATAATTTCAGCCCACCCTAAAATACTAAGGTTGATGTCCGGATTCCATCAGAAGTCTTAGGCATAATGCCATCATAACCTTTGCAGTAAGGGATTCCATAGCCTAGTTATCTTCTTCAAAAACAGAGTGGCGTGAATATTTCATAGGTTATGTTCAAATGAAAGGCTGAGTAGCAGCAAATAATTCGTCGAAATCAGTGGCCAACATCCGAAGAGATTCAAAGTTGATGCTGGCCTTCATAGTTTAAGTGGATTCCATAAGATGAACACACAGTCAAGAACCTAGGCAGTTTGGCACGGTTTCATGTTACGTTGCGTTGCTCATAAGCTATCCCTTGGCCAGCTAGCAGAAACGCATCGGTATTTTGACCCGATCTATCGGATATGGTAATCCACCTGACTATCCAGGTGCGCTCTTCCTGAGTCTTGCACTCATGTATATATGAGAAATACGAATAACTGGGATTGATCTTTGTGCCTGTCAAATTTGCATAACATCAATGCCTAAAGATGTACCTTAAACTTAGAATAAGGACTGAATTGTGAAGAGACCTGTTAGTGAGAAGCAGGATTGTTCGGAACATGTTTCAGCACGTCACGTCCTTCCTATCTACCCACGCCTTGTACATTGCACTGAATTTGTAGGAAGGTGGAGTGATGTGGTGCAAATCTTAGACCGGCAACAAGTAAATTTTCTGGGGTGCGTACTGCCACCAAGGTATCATCACAGACTGACATCAGAGAAGCAGTCGAAAGGTAGGAGTACCTGAAAGCAGGGTCTTCCCAAGATGAGGCTCTTCATCAGTGCACCCATGCTGCGCCCCCTGTGGGTTGGAAGCCATGGACTTCAGGTCTCGGTGGGCACTTTACTGTTGGACAACTGGGCCAGAGTCCAATGGTCTGCATTTGCCCACCTCCGCCAATTCATCATGTAGCACAACCCTTATCCAATACCCTCATTAAGTATTCTTCCCTATGTGCGACCGCATTTGCACCACTAGTTACGACTTCTCACTAGAACTTTGGAAATCCCATCTGAAAACGCGTCACAAACGAGCAGTGGACAGTAATTCATTCCGGAAAGATCTTCCCTGGCTCTTACGCGTCCCAAAAGGCAAAGTTCATCTCTGACTATGCAGTTCACATTCACTTGGAAGTTGTTCACGGAATGGCTATCTTATTCTCTTGAAGTAACGAAGAGAGGAATTGAATCTAGGATTCACAACTGATCAGTAAGTAGCAATAATAAAACCTGTGGAATCTTCCACATGCTCTAATTTTCTAAATAACCACAACAGCCGCCTTTCGCTGGGTTGGGAGCACAGCTGGACCCAATATATGGGGGGGAGCAGGATTCCATCAGTTCATCAGCCTCATCTGAGGAGTGAACGGTCAACCTAAATACCTTAGTTAATGCTATATGGTGTAACCTCAGAAATTTGTACTCGTCAGGTGCTCCATCATTAACTAGTGGATTATCCTGAGGGGACAAAAACACTGTAGCCCAAAGAGATACGGAAAAAGAAGGAGTTGACGAGGACGGAACAGGAAGTATCGGGGTCTTGTTGCTATCGTTGTTGTTCCTGAGAAGTAAAAATGTTAAAAAGAAGCCTGAGGCAAATGTATCTCTGCCACACTGTAAATCCCAATAGGCTTTGAAATGCTTCTCACGTAGGTTGCAGCCAAACACATGAGGAGCCTATTTTGTTGCACGAACAGTGAGAGTAAAACGCACTATGGTATCCCCTCCATATTGTAAGACCGAAAGTCAGACAAGCTAATTAAAGGCATTGAAGAAAAAGTAGGGGTCATGGCTAAATATTTTGCTGAGGTCTCTACCCGAAGGTCTCCAACGGCTGGCATACCGATGCCCAACAGAATAGACTCTGTGGACATAGGACTATGGGATATAGGGTTTTTTGGGTATGAAATAATCAGCAAAACCAGATAGACCTCACCAACGGCTGCTCACAGGTGCTGCAGGCTAAATAGATGGCGTGTCAACTATGTTCAGACTGTCACTTAATGAAGGTACACTCCTACCATACTCGGAGGACGTCAAGTTAACGTCTATCCTTAAGACAAGTCCTAGGCGGTACCCATCAATCCGCAGACTGATAGAGTTGACTATCCCTGCAGCAAAACAATACAGGAAGAGTAATCAAGTAAGCCACAACAGCTTACTTAAAGGGCAACACCCTATTGTCCCGGTCACACGTGGCTTTCTTAAAAGTGCCTCCCGCCTGGCGAAACTTTCCGCCGTCATGAAAAGCCCAGGGACGACTAGAAGAATGTAGATGCCATATCCATACATTTTTGGAGGCCTTCGACAAGGAATCTCGGCCTAAGTCACTCATGAAATAAGAATTTCTAGAATTGCTGGTATTCTGCTTGGATAGATCACAGAGTTACCCGTTGAACAGTAAGGACAAATTCTCAACTCGCTTCTTGAAACTCAGTTGAGAGTGGAGTGCCATAAAGCACATTCCTGAGTTTCCATCTGTCTCTGCTGTGAGGAGATGAAATCCCGAATAGCGTGAAGTCCCCTACTATTAAACACAGCGCGATGTAAAAGTCTGACGTGAAATAAGGGACCATAAAGACATCAGCACACTTAAAGAACAAATAAACAACTTGTCTGGCTTATGGTTATTAACACAAGGAAGTCTGTGAACATGCACATGAAAAATTTTGTGCTGCGTATACCAAACGGTAATACTTGCAATCAAATGTTCTCATGCGAACACAGTGAGCGCAGATAGGCACAACCTCAGTCCGAGAAGAATGTAAGTGACCTTATTCCAGCTGACAGGCACTATAAAGTACGCGACAACAACAGGTAAATCAAAAGACCCTCCACTGGATTTGGAAAGGTGTGGTTAGCTGCGTTGTTCGGTATCCAATATGCATAAGAAGAGTCAGTTTCGATGATAATATAACGACGGTACGTAGTCTATTTTCAAAGATATAGGAATTAAGCCACATATGGTAAAGGACTGCATATATGTGGCAACACCTAAGAATTTGGTGCAACTTCTAGCCCCCACCATTGACCCACAATGACCCATGGGTCACAGGAAGACATAGGTCGAACACCAGAGCGTAGTGTCGATTTGTCGCACCTCAGTGTTTTAGAGTACCCTAGGTATTAGGCAGAAAGCATACCGAAACCGGTGGTGGTGTTTTACACACCCTACATACATCCTCATTTAGATCTAAACTAAGAAGCGTTCTACGAGTGTAAAATCCTTCCCCCGAAAGTGACTCTGAATTGCTGCAACTAACTGAGAAGAAGGTAGCCCACATGATCCCTGCCTTACCCACTGTGACTTACGAAGAACGACTTCAGGAACTCAACTTCTTCGCTTCATAGGATCACCGGTCGAGTGAAAGCCTAGAAGTGCTGCACGGAATTCTAAGAAATGGCTATGGACCTCATCTACCTTCCCTTTCCCACCCCACTAGGTTGCAACACCAGAGAGAATACAACAAAAGAGTAATAATCTGGAGAATAAACGCCTTCTCTGCAGAGTATTGGTGTTTGCATCAACCAATCACCATTTTAGAGAAGCAACGTAAGTTTGGAGAGTACTCTATCAGTTCTATTAACGTTGGTTTTTCCTAGAAGCTTCGGGATATTCACGACTATATGCGCCTTTTTCGGGGTCTGTCGGCAAGAATTTTTCTGGTCGTGTCGATGTAGAGGGGAGTGGGCCGTCCCCCATGCACCTTGCCCTCAAGGTATCAACAACTATGACATCTTGCCATCATAACCCGTCAGTGACAAAAAAACGTTTCCTCCTTTCTGATAACCTCGGGGTGCCCATCATTTGGTGTTTGTACGGGTTTACGTACGGCATCACAACCCACAAAAAAGTGTGTGCAATCTTGAAGTCGTTTATACAACCGTATCCATCTACACTGAACTCGTGTGGATGGGGCGTAGAGACGATGCATGTGTAACTTAAGAGTCTGAGCATAACCATGAATATCAGGGGGAAGGTGGGTCTCTCCTGATCAGTTCATCGGGCAAACGTAGGTTATTGCCACGAACCAACTCAGCAAGAGTACGCCGTACATCTATCCAAAGCGCTTAATGAACGCTCGAAAGAACTGCTGGTAGAGATTCGGTCCGTTTTATGTTGTCGACCCCTATTAGCACACCCTTAACACGCCAGCGAAACCGCTATAGCAAGACATTAGAAGCTGGATGATATACAGTGGAGCGAATGAGTCTGCATCTCAAAAGACCCGTCAGCTTCCGGAAGGCAACAGACTCAAACTGCTGACATTTGTCGGTTGTCGCAGTGGAAGGGCATCCCAACTATGAAGCACGTCTTTCGACGGAAACTCAACCAGCTGCTTCACCAGTAGTGTCTGGCAATGGGAAGGCTTTTGGTCAGTGGGTGAGTTTATCGACACATGTCAGTGGATAGGAATAACCATCGGATGGTGGAAGTGGGCCAAAGGCTTACAAATGGACATGGGCAAACCATGAATCCGGTTAAGCGAATGTCCCAAGTGGGGTAATGTCATGTCGACTCACGCTGGAAAGTTGACGTAGAGTACACGACCGTGTCCACTTCAAGCATACAGGTTAATGCCCAGCCATACAAACGCACCAGATAGCAGTCTGTCAGTAGCACGTACGCCA